CACATCGCACGCGCCTCTGATCCCGTGCTGTCTAGACTGTCGTGTCGTGAACACTCGGTGCGGTCGGGGACCATGAGCTTAAGATACCATTGACCTATTGATCATTGATCGATGCTTGGAGCCAAAACTACTAGCACAGAGAGTTTTCTTCGCGAAAATATTTAAACGCAATTTTGTCAACAATATGGTGTAATTTAGCCTGTCTCAAGAGTCAAGTACTGTTTCGTTTACATACATACCTTCGCAGCTTCGTCAGTAATCAGTAGGTGCCGAAGCGATAGGACTGACTTCTACAAGAAGTTACTGTGTCACTCACCATCTAGCGCACCACACGCGTATCTTTTCTTCTTTCCATACTAAATATTTTTTTACAATGGGTAAAGAATATGTGAATCCCTTATGGATTAAACCCGCGCCGGCGGGTACGCCACGCGTGTTTTGTTTTTCGATGCCTACTCGGGGAGATGAACTGAGACACTAGCTCATTCAGCAGTGGACGTCCTATGGATGAAAGGATGATGATGAATAAATAGGTAATATTTACCAAACCGAACCTAAATTATACGACTCTGAGTCCCTCGAGATTGGCACCACTAACCACCTTTTCCGTTTGCATCGTTTCGGTTCAACTCCGGTCACCAAGCCGCCAGGTAAAAATTCAACCGCGCAGTGGCGCCCAACGTGGGGTATGGTGTAACGTTGCAGCTCAGCTGTTTTTTGTGAATTGATTTCCTTACTAGATACCTATTAGGTTTTCAGATACCATACCACTAATGACATCTATTGGTATGATTGGAAAATAATTTCTAATAAATTGCGCTCATTGCTTTGTGGTTCGGTAATTCGGTCGGTATCGTTGAGATATCGATTCAAAGTATTTTTAATTAAATATTTCCTTATGTTTTTATTTTTCTAATTCTATTTTTAAACAGGTTATTTTCATTGTTTTGGGAATTGAGAGAATGTTACTAGGTATGCAAAATCACTTGAAACCTATGTTACAGTTAAGCTTTTACATTTACAAATACATTAGTTTTTATTTCATTCAAAAATACCCAGTAGTTATGATTTTATAGGCATTCAAAGTTCGCTTAAATATTGAGTCCCGCCGACGGTCACGTGACCCCGCGTGACGTACATTCACAGTGTCCGCTCACTAGAAAACGGATATAAACATACTTAAATACATTTTTTTTTTGTAAATACAAACTTATTATACATATTAACACCCAGACCCATCACAGAAATTAAAATTGAACCAAACCCAAACTTGATGCGATTGTGTCGTTTTATTGCGAATTACCTTCCAGCTCCATCAAGCTGCCATAATTCGATGATGATTAGACCCTGATTACTATATAGAATTAAAATACTCATCAATACAAAACGAACGAGCCCAAACTCGATGCATTTAAGTCGTTTTATTATAGAGTTCCTATGACCACCTTCCAGCTCCATCATCAGATCAGCTTCATGTCATCATAATATTGCATGGTCATCCAAATCACATGTGTTTGCGAAATTTCAGCTTAATCGGTTGCCTGGAAGTGGGTCTTAATTCAGCTTGCAAGATTCCACCCATACAAATATGAGCCAGTCACTGTAATATGACGTCACACGCATAAAATGGCGGGCCGGCCGCCGCCCGCACTTTTAAAATTCAATATCTTGGAAACTAATTGACGTATCGAAATAATTCTTTCACGTGTATTTTTTATTTTTAACAGAGAATACAGAAAGCTAAAAAACAAAATTAGTGAACATTCTTCATTGTACGGTGTACATATTGTATTACACTCAAATCATTCCGTCAGCAATTCCGCCGTTTGTGCGTTCTAATTCCGTTCAATAAATCAGTGCTTTCATCGCATTCATAGCAATCACACGTCATTCTTAGCATTAGCATAACATTGTAATTTACGACATATAGCAATAAACTCTTAACTATCTCAATCTCCAGTATTTCATTTAGCATTCTTTAGATGTACTTCTCTCACGGTACAGGAATTGTTTTGCAGTATGGTTTTTGATACCATTTATTTATTACGCTGGTGAAACGAAACGTCGTCTCGCGATTGTCAGATGATCTGTCAAATCACTTTGGATTTTATTTGGTCGTGGTGCGCAGCCGCAATATTGACATAATCCCGTATTAATTTCATCGTGCGATGCAACATGCATCCATGAATATTTTATAATGAGTCAATAATTTAAACACACATGAGGTGAGTTCCCGGCAGAAAATTTATTTATTTTCGGGGATTGATATTTTTGGTATTTCCGTACGTGGTACTTCCATGTGATCGTTTCTTTCAGGAATTCCCTAATTGTTGTTTTGGCTGAGGGTTTGGGATGCTGAAAACTGCGAGTGAAGTCTAATAAGCGAGGAGTTTTCGTAAGTATTTGGATCCCATAGGTGGTGTTTTCATAACCTGTTGACGCGATCCTCCTGTTGACGTGTTGCTCACACAACCATTTTTCGTTTCAGATGCGGGATTTATTAATACGTACTTTTCTTTGCTTTTCTTCTTTAAAAATGCCATAAATTAAGGCAATAGTCTGGTTGGCATTGTTTGACTTCGTGTGCTATGATCTCTTCGCATTACTTGCAAATGTAGCAAATGGACATGCTTATTCTGGCGCTGCACGCTTGAGGACGTGGAAGATGCCGCTTGTGGCCTGAGAGTGTGCGAGACCCGTTGGAACCCAGAAGAAGAGAGGAACGTTCGTGGCTTACAAACCGCATGGCTTCCAAGGTACCCACTTTTACATCATAAGTCTTTTCCGCGCAGCTATCTTATTCATTAGAGTGTTTTCATATTTAGGCTGAGTTTTAAGAAATTTGTAATGGCAATAATACTCATCAAACCATTTCTTCAAAATCAACAAAACGAAACGTAGCTGTAAAAATATTGGGAAGCGTAACGAAATCTTTCTTCGCGGTTTTAATACTAGACGAACTATTTTATATAGGGGCTCGCTCGTACGTAATATAAGTGTTACGTAAGACAATGATTGCGATTAGTAACCGCTCACACGACGACACCTGCTAGGCCATCATTTCGATAAATGAGCAAAATATTCGAAGGTTAGGACACAAGTGTGCCCTAGTTGTCCTGCGAATCTGGGAGAGAACTTATTTATGCGGCTTCCTTACAAGGCCTCATGGCACGGCGTCAGCGTGTTGGTGTGATCGATATAGGTATTAAATTACACTAACGGAATGGTATGTGTACGATTTTACATGGGGATTACAAATACACTTTATATTATGTTGTGAATAGTTAGTTATACTACTATATTAGATACTTACCTAGTTTGATCAAACTCTAAACCCACCCAGAAGTCAGAACATACTATTTTGAAACGATTTTAAATAGTATTTTCTTGTTTAGGTATTGCGCCACGCAGTGATTCTGCTAATGTCAGGTTTTAATATTTTTGTATGTTGCCTTGTCTGCTGCCACTTGATGTAGGACGTATCTCTATCTACCCAGTAGTTGTTGTCCATTACTGGGTAGATGGAGATACGTCCGACGACACATTCTGCCTTGCAACCCTATCTACTAGTACCTACCTACACGAACAATCCTCCAAGCGATTTATCAAACAATATGTCGCGAAGAATGTGTATCATGCTGTCATGCACACTTTGCATTCAGTGCTACTATTCGTTCGCATACTACATAATACCACTAGTTAAGTAATACTACCACCACCACTACCACTACATACTTAGTTTACATATACGCACTTACGCAGTGACGTGCGATTGAATGAATTAGAATGAATGTTAGTGTGAATGTGCTCATTATCCACTGCGGTATCAGTACTCAACGTTCGAATAATCTTTAGTACTACCTACTACGTAAGTAATGTAAACTGTTTGACATACCTATATGATGTCACTGCTGTCATCATTGCTGTCGTGGCTCGCGAGCAATGTGTTCTTTTTTTAGCTTATTGCTGCGACACCGGCCCCGCCCCCTTTTCACATCTCCCTTTAGTTTCTGTCATCTGTGGGATTTACACATTGGAGCCTTGCACACTGGAGCTACGCAGCAACTTGCAGGACAGTGCTATCACTGTCCTGCAAGTGTGATAGGGCTAAGCTACACATATTATATGGTTCACTCACACTATAGAGAACCCGATAATGGCACCCTACGTTGGTCACTGCATTCACCAGTAACGTACCGGTTTTAGAGCGGTAACTCATGTAGATATACGCAGACTACGCAAAAGGTAGTGTAATCGATCAAAGGACATCATCCATTTTGGTCCAAAATCAAAAGTGCCGGCCAAAAAATAAAAGTGCTGTATTCTGATAGAATACGTCCGCCTTAGCATTTATTACTATGGCACCAAAGCTGTAGCACCACTGTGCATCGTAGTATTTGAGTTCTAAAAATATATGAAACGACTGACTTTGATCTCAAATACTACGACGCACAGTGGTGCTACAACTTTGGTGTCATAGTAACAAATGCTAAGGCGGACGTATTCTGTCAGAATACAGCACTTTTTTTTTATTGGCCGACATTTTTGATTTTGAACAAAAAATGTATGAATAGTCGATGAATTTTAGATCTCAAATACTCGACGCATAGTGGTGCTACAGCTTTGGTGCCATAGTAACAAATGCTAAGGCGGACGTATTCTGACAGAATACAGCACTTTTTTTTTATTGGCCGACACTTTTGATTTTGAACAAAAAATGTATGAATAGTCGATGACTTTTAGATCTGAAGTACTCGACGCACAGTGGAGCTACGGCTTTGGTGCCATAGTAACAAATGCTAAGGCAGACGTATTCTGTCAGAATACAGCACTTTTTTTTTGTTGGCCGGCACTTTTGATTTTGGACCAAAAATATATGAAACGTGGATGATGTCCTTTCGGAAAAAATAATAAAATTCTGTGAACGTGTTCTGTCGTCTTAACTTAAAAATAAAAAGTTTGATGACAAAAGGCGCTTAAAGTATTCCTTGTGCCGGCAGGAGGCGGAGCTGAGCACGTGGACGGCGTTCCTGCAGCGCGCCGTGGACGCCACCTACAGCACCGAGGTGGTCATCGACAATCTCCACAACATGATCGGTCAGTGCTCACATTTACATTACTTTCATCCCTCATCCTTGCATCCCTGAAAATGACAATATTCGGGAAGCCCTGTCTGTGGAAGTGGCGGGCGTCTCTGGCCGATATTCAGTCAAAAGTCAGATTCAAAATTCAGACTACGACCTTGTTCTTTTCTTATCACCAAGACATCAATGGAATCTTCAACTTATGTGTTGTATCTGATTCATATATCTATTTAATTCTGGTCAGTTAAGGTTCATTCAAACCAACGCGTGCCGCCGGCGTGCACTGCGCGTACAAAAGTTGTTTTACACTGCCGCGACCACTACGCGTGCAGGTTGTCACTGTCACGCACATTGTCACTTTCGCTTTTCAGGCGTTCTCAATGTATGTACAATGTACAAGTCTCCAGCTGTCTCCAGCTTTCTCAAAGGCCCTAAAGCAATTCTAAGAGCCATAATTAAAGGCCTAATTAAGAGTCATCAAACGTCTCAGTCATTTATTTAAAGCCACTACAACTTTATAACTGTGAGTTTTTTTTGTGTGTAAGCTTATATCCAATATACAGGGTGGCCAAAACAGTGAGGTCTAAAAGAAAAATTTAAATTCCTTACATCAAGGTGTACCTAAATCGCCCCCATGTTTATAATACGATTGTGCTTAGTTTAGGAGATAGAGTTAATTTTGTGATATTTTAAAATTTTATGATTAGGCTGAAGGTGGAAGGGAACTTCAACTACTAAGGAACTATGGCTTCCTACCTCCAAATGCCTTAATACAGTAATATTAACATTATTTTTATAGTGACAAACTTAGGAAAATAGAGTTGCTAGCCAGGCAGACTTAGATCAAACCCTACCACCAACCAAATCGAGCAGAAAATTTCACCTCCACTGGGAATCAAACCCGGGACCTCTGAAGCTTACCTCTTACCACTTGAAGATAGAGGCAGTTGTTACATTTTACTATTACCCTTGAAATACCTACTACAGTGAGAATAAGAAGGAGGGATATTTGGTCCCTCCAACCAAACCTGCCTCTGTCTTCAAGTGGTAAGAGGTAAGCTTCAGAGGTCCCGGGTTTGATTCCCAGTGGAGGTGAAATTTTCTGAAATTTTACAAATGAAGGGCAAGAGCTTCCTCGTTGAGAATAAAAACATGTTCTGTCCAGTTACTGCTCTAAATCTGTTCTACGTAATGTTAACTTAGAGGATTCCCAATATTAATTCACTCTAAGAAAGTCAAAAACATGTAACGGAATCTCCGACTTACCATAGTATAAGATCCCGCTATACAACGACCTTCACCGAGATGCTTATTTGATGAAACATATTTTATATTCAATTTAACATGTCAATAATTATATTGCTTAAGGGTTCCCTAATAAATTTTAGTCCAGGATATGATTAATTAATCATTAAAAAAAGATATATTTTTTTAATATTTCATCGGTTTGACTATAAATTAAACAAACTCCATACCAATCGAAAGTATGAAGCCCATAGAATATGCAAACGTTAGGTTGCCTATTCTTTTCCAGTCATAACTCTCGGGTTGCCAGGTATAAACAGGTAAATTGATAGAGCATTTTGCACCGGTCTGATAATTTAATCAAATTTAAATGAAAATAAAGATTATTTCATTATGAACACGTTGGTATAGGGTTGCCTACGAAAAATGAGTCCTGAATGACGGTTGTCGAATTTTGTAAAGTGAAATTAAAACTGAAAGGTGACATTTTTCGAGTAGTTGGCAACATTTGGGAAAGACGAGTTGTATGAGGCGTTTGTGTGTCTTGTCAAGAGGTGTCGCTTGGGTGAAGAAATTTCTCCAGTGTTGCCATGCTTTCGGAGATTTGGTCCAAAAATGTCGAAAGTGGAAATAACGACTTCCCGTACAAATGACATTTGACCATTTTCATCTCGATCACCTGGCAACACTTGCAGCTATGGGGAAAAGTATTTTTTTTCGACATGGGTGTCTTTAAAGTTAAGGACGGACAGAAGGAGATATGGCAGAAAAAATCCAAAAATGGGGTTTGGTCGGTTATACGACCCATATTATGGGAAAAATCCGAAAATCCAGAAAATCAAGATGGCGACCGAGTGAGCGGTCATTTTATAAAAAGTTTCAGATTTCTGATTTTTCAAATGCATTTTTGGGCAGTTTGCAACATTTGGGAAAGTCGAGTTGTATAGAGCGATTACGTAGTTTGCTAAGGAGTATCGTTTGGAAAAACAACATTTTCCAGTGTTGCCATACTTTGAAAGATTTGGTCAAAACATGTAAAAAATGGAAATAACGACTTTTGTTCCAAAATTTGGATGACGCCTCCTGCAAATAAGTCAAACTAATGACATTTTACTATTTTCATCTCGATTACCTGGCAACACTGGCAGTTACGGGGCCACAAAATTTTGGAACTTGGGTGGTTTTAAGGAATTGTTTCACGGGATTGGTTTAAGTTAGAAAAAAAGTAAAAAAGGGTTTCGGCGCGGAAAATGGTCTAGATTAAGCAAAAAATGCAAGAAGTATGGCACTGGAACACTGGAAAATGTTGTTTTTCCAAACGATACTCCTTAGCTTGAGGTAAGGAATCTAAATTTTTCTTTTAGACCTCACTGTTTTGGCCACCCTGTATAAACTACCCGCATCAATGTTTTTATCTCAAAATTTAAAATCTTATAAAGAACAGACTTCAAATCTTATTTTATTTTACGAAGTTGAAGAACCATTACTATAATATTAATAGTCTTTTATTAGAGGTTGACACATATCAGGGTTCTCGAGAAACCTAGAATAATTTAACGAAAATAACCTGTATCATAATATAAGCTGTATGTTTTCCTAATAAAGAAAAATAAAATAAAAATAAATTTGTTTATTACATTAAAATAAATTCTGGTATTAATACTTTATTCTAAAACCTTTTTTATTATTCAAGTAGGTCAGACTAGTGGTATGTTATGATTAATTCAATTTTAATTGTGTAAAACCTTTTTAACAGATCCTACGTACCATTTATCTAGGCTTTATAATGTCGATTTTAAAAAATTATAATAAGGACTGATTTTTCAATCGTCAGATAACTTTTAACTAAAGAATAACGGCCGAATACTGAAACGCCATTTAAATATTTGACGGCTTCTCAAATAGTTAAGCAGCTCCTAAACTTACATTTCGCATACTCAAAACAATATCTGAGCAGTTCTCAATTTTTAAGCACCTCTCAAATTAAGTTGCACTCAAACGCCACTTAACCTCTCCTATGCTTTGTCTCAGATCTGTGCAACCTCTGTCAACTGCTATGTCTCAGATCTAAGACAAGACTATTTTGTGATTTTGAAACATCATTTGAAAACCGTAGCAGTTGGCGGATGCAGTTTTGCGCGGCTCAATAGCACGCCAAAGGTTAAATGAATTTTCGCATACTGAAACGCCATTCAACGCTAAGCATTACTCAAACAACTGTCAAATCGTCTTAAGCAGCTGTTAAATTTGAGAGTGCTTGGGCGGTATCTTAAATCCTATTGTTATACCTAAAACGACCTAAATAGTGGTAAATAATGTGTGTCATCGTTATCATTTCTTTCGAGCCTCGAGGAAATACCTAGATCTAATCGCAGGAACGCAATAAGGCTGAACGCTATTGAAAAATATTATTATAATGACATGCAATTCCGAGCGTGTAAATGAAAACATACTTTTTTTGGTAAATGTTGCCATTATGTAAACATTTGAGAGCTGCTTAGCTGATCACGGCTTCAAATCCGTTGAGTGGCGTTTGAGAATACCATTTAAAATTGAAGGATACTTAAATTTAGGAGCCCGTCAGCTGAGTGACAGATTTGAGTAGTGTTTCAGTATTCGGCCGTTAGTATGGGAAATATGCCAAAATGACAAACTTATTCTTCAGTTAAAAGTTATCCGACGATTGAAAAATCAGCCCTAAAACAAAAACTTTTTTTTAAAAACAAGCTTTATTCTGAAATGCAGTTGTACTAAAACGAAAAAAAAAAATTGTAAGTAGGTAGGTAGGTATGCAAAGTTCAAATAATTCCGAAAGCTTGTATCGCGCATGGAATTTATTCCTCTTTTTTTCTGTTTGCGCATGATGATGATCCGTCTGCTCGTTTGCCTCCTGTTACATAAAAAAAAAGTAAGATGGTGCAACCCAGTATAATTGTTTGATTATGTCAAACAATTTTCATTTATTCATTCGTTTCAGCCATATGACGTCCACTGCTGGACTAAGGCCTCCCCCAAAGATTTCCACAACGACCCATCCTGTGCTGCCCTCATCCAGGTACTCCCCGCGAGCATCACCAGATCGACCGTCCACCCTGTGGGAGGTCTGCTCTCACTACGTCTTCCGGCTTGTGGCCGGTCGCCATCCATTAAGCTCTACGAGCCATGGTCCCCGCCAGTGCCACTTAAGTTTGGTAATTCTGCGAGCTATGTCGGTTACTTTGGTTTGGTTATCCTGGAATACTTCGAGCATAGCACGTTCTCATGAGATCTAAGCGACCACGTCCCCGTAGATACCGTCACCCAATTAGGTACTTATAAAAAATCAAGTCTTAATTTAATCTACCGATTCATACAGCCGAACAACGGCGGTGCGTGCGCGAGGTGTCTTCCTCCAGCGTATTCACGTCGATGTGCGAGGCCAGTGGCTCGCCGCCTGCCGCCGAGCGCACCGCCGACGACGCGCCGCCCGCCGCCGCCGCCGCCGCCTCGCCTCGCTCGCCGCTCGAGCGCCGCGCGCCCTCGGCCGCCTGCAGCACGCCCATCGCCCGCGACTAACGGCGTCGGCGGCTGCCGCCGAACGTATGAATCTAACAGATCTAAATCTAAGACTGTAGGTTTTGGTTTTAAATCTTATGTGCGAGAAACGCTGCCGGCTGAGCGCATCTGCGTGGCGATACCGACTGTTCGCCGTTTTCTCGAATACAGCCTATGTGTGAATTAAGCTACAAATAAAACGACCCCTGTGATGTTCGAGCTGGCGCTACCGGCGACCTCGACTTGTGTTTTATGATTTTGTAATCGATGGGCATGTAGTGCCGCAACGCTCGAGATGATTATTATGTCCGGCGAGCGGCGCCGGAGGCCGAGCTCGGAGTGCCCAGCACTGCCTTATCGCGTGTGTTCAATTTGCGCAAACTGCCCAATCATGTCGCTATCGTATTTTTACGTAGGTATTTATCGATGTTACGATTTAAGGCTACGCTATTATGTATTAAGAAAAAAAAACTTAAGATCCAGAAATGAAATTGCAATGTTTTAGATAATGCTTTTTATGTGTGTTATATCTTGCCTTAGGATTATTCAAATTAAGATGACATACCTACCTATTTTATTTTTACATAATGAACTAAGATTTTGTACTGTACAATTTAAATAATGTTTCTGCGTACTTGTTGTGTTTATGGCGCGCTAAGGGTTGGGTGCAGGCGGAAGATTGCCAATGCCGAGTATTGCCGAGTCACCAACAGCCGACAGGAGACCACTCGATGGCAGACGCGGTACATTTCAATGTTTTCTATACAAGATATTAAGTAGTTTCTTGCTATAACTTTCTTAACATATTCTGTAATTTAAAAATGAATCGCAAAATGTGTTGGTAAAAGCGCATATAAGTAACTCAACAACGCCTGGATCAATTTAACTAATTCTTTTTTTAAATGTTCGTTGAAATCAAGTCCAAGGATGGTTTTTACGGCAAGAAAAAATCGAATAATTTCCGGGAAAACCCCGGACGGCGAGCGAGTATTTTAATAAATGTCTGTTAAAAGACAAAAGGCCTATTAAGGTTATTATATTTTCTGGCGTTAACCACAACATTAAAGCTCATTATGTGTAACTCAATTAGCATTTGCTTCGTAGTACTACTCTGGCCACTGCGCGCGCGCGGCCCTCAGCGCGGCGAGCTGGTTCACTGACGATAAGTTTTGGATCTTTTTACAAGTTCGCGCATCTTACTTATGGGCCCGCTGCGTCGGTGCTCTGAGCGTTCTGTATGTTTCGTTTAGTGTTATCGACTATTATGTATTACTTTTATGCAGTATTACGTGCACTATAAGCGAGTAGTATTAGGTGCGTAGACGCGCATACACATCAATGTTGTACCTATATTTCTTCCTGCGCCAGACGCGCTGCCGATAATATCATACAAGGTGTATAATATAACAGTGGATGTCTGCCTTCACACTTAGTTTAATCAAGCCTAGATGGATAGTAGCGCTTCGTCTAAAGTGAGGCAAAAATATTGTCATTCACTGTCATGAACTGTGAAAAATGTACAATAAAGGCAATTTTTCGAATGATTTCGACGTTTCGAATGAGCCAGAATGGTCCACTCAAAATTGCCTCACTTTTCCTCGCTTACTATCCATCTAAGCTTTAATAACCTAAGTCTTCACATTATAAAAATTGTTATGAAGTTGGCACTACAGACAGTGCTGTATATGTTACGGTCAATGTGATAAATGTGAAAACTATGAATATTAATCACATTAACCGTAACATATACATAATTGGTAAAGAGTTTATCAACAATACGGGACTCTTATATCATTGAATTACGATCGCCGAAGGCGCTTTAATTAATATATTAAGATATAATGTAACCTATGTAAATATTTACGATTAACTGTTGCCAAATTTTGTATAGTTTTATCGGATATCAAGTTCCGATTGTGTCGTGTCGTGAATATATCTACCTCTTTTCTGTATAATGTTCGCTTGTTCGTCTGCTTGAACGCAGTAATTCTTATTGAATACCAGGAAAAGTTACAGTATTTTTGTAAATTGTTATATAAAGTGCTGGTTTCAATCTGCTCAGTGGGTCCGATTCCGACGATCTGATTTAAAATAATGAAACTATTAAAGAGCGATGAATGGTAACATTCACCTTGAGTAGCGGAATCGAGCCCAAATGTGACGGAGCCTGCGGTGATACGAATCAACGAAGGATTGATGATGTTGACTTATATTTGTGAATACTTCATGTGTTTATTAACGGGACCTTAAATGTTGAATCTTGTTGTGTAAATTTTTAATATCGCCTTATATATTAATGATAAATTTATGCATTTATTATCCTAGTTATCTGTGTGAACGCATTTTTATATATACATATTATTATGATATTGTTAGATCAGAGAGAGAATTAATAGAATAGAGTAAGTAGAGACAATTATTGGATAGTTATAAAGAACGTAAAGCGGTCATTCAAAAGGCCTGCCGCGGGCTGTGCCGCTTGCTTGTTCACCGACCTGATGTCGTACGTGTGTATATACTACCCGTTCGCTTCGAGTTGGCTGTCTATGGCCGTTAAAAAATGTCGTCACAGGCACATCAACTGGTACTGTCTATAAAAATAATGTATTTTTATAGCAATATTTTTTATTATTGCATTAAACCAAGATAGCAAGCGATACTGGTTTATTAAGTTCGTAGATATAAAAAAGGAAGTGTTGTGATTCCTGACCCGACCACGACATGGAATGGAGTTTTTACTGTGGCACAAAATGGTAATTTTAATTGTGTTTTACTGTGCCACTTATCCCAAGAATTTGTGCCTTGTACTTTTTGAGTAATAAGAGTACGATTGTGGTCGGGCTGGAGATCACGGTTCCTGGCCCGACCACAAGCTGATCTAATAAAATATCAATAGTGTGAAGTTACTGATTATGCCAAAAATATGTGTCAAACTGTGCCTATAGGAAACGTAAAGCATTTTCTATTATATCACAGAATAAATCTTGATTCGGATTAATAGTTAGTTTTTGGCATGCTCATTTGAACACTTTGTTCGTGACAATTACGTCGTCTAGGTAACTTTAAGTAATCGATGTTCACCGACTATTTGAAGATTTCTCTTCCGATTTGAGTGACTCTTTTTTGTTTGATAGTAGATACTTGCCATTTGGTCCCATACACAATTTAATTTAGTTTAATGTAGTCGTTTTTAGGGTTCCGTAGCCAAATGGCAAAAAACGGACCCCTTATAGTTATTTTATGAGCATGTCGGCGCCGGACACAGATGCTGCAAATTATTATTGATGATTAATAGTACCAATCTTAATATCATGTTATCTGTAGAAATCTGTAGAGCAGAAGGTTTGTGATTCCTAAACGTAACACCCGACTGATGCGCAGAAAAAGATAACTGTCAATCAGTTGTGTCATGTCAAGTGTGAGCAGGCGGCTGCGAGGTTATCTTTGAAAGCGTGTTGAGTTTGGTGGAACGTTAAATTGTAGGAAAAGTGATTGTCAAACAATCCAAGATATTATCTCCTTGCCCGTTAACCCACGCCAATGGAGATTCCACCCCTAGAGTTCCTTCTGATAGAGACCCAGTGCCTTTAAGCATGATTTTCGAACAGAATTTTTATGACTCAAATTACAAACACTAAAAAGTCAAAAATAAAATAAACTGCGTTTAAAAAAACCGACTTTAAAAATAGAAAACGGAACCCTTATAGTTATTTTATGAGCATGATTTTCGAACAGAATTTTTAAGACTCAAATTACAAACACTGAAAAGTCAAAAATAAAATAAACTGCGTTTAAAAAAACCGACTTTAAAAATTAAACTGACTCCAAAAAAGTACTACACTAAAAAGTAGAAAAATAATTTTACGTTATTTATTTAATTAGGACAATTATTATGACCATGATTGATTTCTCGGAGTCGGTGCCAGTCTGTCTCAAGAAACGTACTGCTCATAAAATAAAAAACCAAATTAAATTGTATATGGGACCAAATGGCAAGTATCTAATATTGAACAAAAAAGAGTCACTCAAATCGGACGAGAAATCTTTAAGTAATCGGTGAACATCGATTACTTAAAGTTACCTAGACCACCTAGACGACGTAATTGTCACGATCAAAGTGTTCAAATGAGCATGCTAAAAACTAACTAATCCGAATCTAGATTTATTCTGTGAAATAATAGAAAATGCTTTACGTTTCCTATAGGCACAGTTTGACACATATTTTTGGCATAATCAGTAACTTCACACTATTGATATTTTATTAGATCTGCTTGTGGTCGGGCCAGGAACCGTGATCTCCAGCCCGACCACAATCGTACTCTTATTACTCAAAAAGTACAAGGCACAAATTCTTGGGATAAGTGGCACAGTAAAACACAATTAAAATTACCATTTTGTGCCACAGTAAAAACTCCATTCCATGTCGTGGTCGGGTCAGGAATCACAACACAAAAGGAACGCTGTGAGGCTGGGAGGGTGGGAGCGGTAAACTCGAAACGAACGCGTAGTATGACGTGGTATGACGAACGAAAATCTGCTGTTTGCACAAATTCGTATCGCGGTGTCGCTTTGACAGCTAGTTCAAACGAAAACGAAATACAACTGCTTCTTTGTGTAAAAGCGTAAAGAAAGCTAACTACTTTTTCTCAAACGTAATTCAAACGCTTCACGAACATTTGCTGTGTTTTAGTGAAAAAATAAGGTGTTCGGGCTTTTAATGGAAAGTGCTTAAATCAGTTGTTTCGTCTCTGTTTGCGCGTGAACTTTACCGCGATACCGAATTGCACATCAGGTGGAATGAAATTGGAGTGTGGACTAGAGATGAAACACGAATGAATTGGAAACATTACAAATTAGCGCAATCGGGGCCCTGTTCTTCGCAATTTCTGATTAGGTTCGTACTTGGTCCATTTAGAATTGGCTACAAAATGTACTGTTTAATAAGCTTTTATTTATAAAGCTCATTTTCACCGCCAAAGAAGATAAATATGACATTTTTTACTTAAAATAACCCAGTTTTCTGGCAATATTATTTGCGTTTTTTTAAACGTCTAATGTACGCCCCCTGATGAGCGAGCTAATTTGTACTGTTAGGCCCAGAACAGACGGTGAAACACAACTGCAACGAAACTAACTTTCTGATGATTTTTATGAATGAAACTGAAAGTTTCAAACTGGTCGCGTCATATGTGGCCTCTCAACGGACGCTATGGCAGAAACTTAGATGCAACTCAAAAGTAACTAGCAGTTGCAGTTTCGTTGCAGTTGCGTTTCACCGTCTGTTTTGGGCCTTATTGTCCTCTTTGTCATTTTCGCTCGACTCTTGTTGATGATGCATTTTGTATTATTATAGAAAGGTATGCGTTCAACTTATGTAACATAACTGTTAAACTGTCTTTACGCATTTATTGACAGATAAATAAGGTAGGATAGATTGCTAACGTCATACATAGGTAAAAGCGTCGGGTAAAACTTATTATCGTAGCCGGTACCTTGTACTCCGACTTATAATGTTAGATAACTAGAGCCATCTACCGAACAGTTAAAAAAACAAATCTGATGTGACGACTAGAATGTACTTAAAATATTTTCTACAGGGGATCGATTTTGAAATGTCACCTGAGTGCTAATAAAACCATTATTCAATCGTTACAAATCAGTAGACAATCTGCTGTTTTGGTAATATTTTATCAAGTTATATTTACACTAGCTTTCCGCCCGCGGCTTCGCACGCGTGGAATTTTGTCTGTCACAGAAAAACTTTATCGCGCGCGTCCCTGTTTCATAAAACCGGGATAAAAACTATCCTATGTTCTTTCTCGGGACTCAAACTATCTCTATGCCAAATTTCATCAAAATCGGTTGCGAGGTTTAAGCGGGAAAGCGTAACAGACAGACAGACAGACAGACAGACAGACAGACAGAGTTACTTTCGCATTTATAATATTAGTTGGGATATTGGGATAATATGCGCCACCTAACGGAATTTATTATAACTACAGCCTGTTGAATATGAAATTGGATATTTCAAGTAAAATTTTATGACAATTTAGTATTTTTATGATATAAAAAAATTATAAATCAGAACACTAAAATATGACATTTTGTCGATTTGGACATAATTTTATTTTTTCCGAGCCTAGTAACGCCACGCTATCTAGCGATTCTGTTGCGCAAGGTTTGTACTAATGTATGAACGTTAGCAATCTATCCTTCCTTATTTATCTATGTTATTGGTAAGTGCATATTGAGAGCTACCATATAATAAAATGTGTAGTTTGCGCCACTATCGACTAACCAAAAAAATTAAAAAGGAAAGATTAGCAGATAAAGCTTCTCCTCGAACTCCTCATCATCATGGCATTAGATTGGCGCCACTCTTCTTACTAGAGTGACCTAAACTAGTTAGCACAACTGATATAGTTCCAAAATACTGAACTGTCCTATGCATGACATTGACAGTGGGGCGCCACCGTCAATACCGGATCGCTGGTTCCGATTTTTGCCATGTTGGAAACCAAACCATATAGTTGAACG